TAATCGAAGTTTTTAATGCTTTAAATAACCTTAGTTCAAAGTGTGGTCCTAGACCTGATTTAATTACAAGACAGTCTTATCAACAATGTAAATTTGTCCTCTCTTCTCCTCTACTTTATATTTTTAATTTATCTTTATCTAGTGGTATTTTTCCTGATAGATGGAAAACAAGTATTATCCTTCCTATTCCTAAGACATCATATGACTTATCAAATATTTCTAATTACAGGCCTATTTCTTTACTTTCAACTGCACCTAAAACATTCGAAACTATTGTGTCGGATATGATAACTCCTGAACTTGACAGAATTATTGTTGACGATCAACATGGTTTTAGATCGTCTAAAACAACTACTACTAATTTACTTACCCTTCAACATTCCATAATTGATGCTTTTTCTGCTGGTTTACGTATGGACGTTATTTATACTGATTTCGCTAAAGCTTTATATAAAGTTAATCACACTATTCTTTTACATAAATTAAAATATATTGGCGTATGTGGTCCTCTTCTTCAATGGATTAAGTCTTACATTTCACAGCGTATTCAAATTGTTGTTTATAAAGAATTTCAGTCAAAACCAATATTAGTTACTTCAGGTGAATTGACTGCACGCAATGAATTAAAATTAACCAAATTCATTCAAATTTAATGACTTACTGAAAGACCAGAGAAACTAACCACACATAGTAAAGCAAGTTAGGTTTCATTTTACAATATGTATATGGTAATACTAGTAACGAGGAAAACATTTTTAGCTGAAGAACAACATTAAAATTTTAATGACTAGTAAATATTATGAATTTTAATAAAGAAATTGCAGCAGAAACTTAAGTTAAATTAGGCCTACCTTGTAAAACTACTTCTGAAATACTGAAGAAATATTACTTAAAATTAAAAAAAAAACATGTGTATAATAGTCAACTTCATTTAACAATAACTATTTGTACATATTACAAGGTAAAAAAAACAATAATAAAATTAGTTTACAATATATAAAAACAATAAGATTGTAATATTTTATAATATATTAGGATATGGCCGGATTTGTCGTTGAACATAACATAACATCATTACGGTGACCAGTTCTCAAAAACATCAATAAGTCACCATTTTGATTCAGCTGCTGTACGCATTCTCTTATCATTATAGATGAATTTTCCCTCTCTTTTTTGCATATTTAATTTCTAACCTAGTAAAGTACATACAATTTAAAGAAATGAACCATAGTCGAAACACAAAAAACTAATTATATGTATATATATAAAAAAAAAAAATCAAATTATTACTTTAAAGTCATCTTTGCACTGTTGAAATTCTATAAAGATCTGATTCTCAACAACAATCAACAATCAGCTTTTCTGTTGAAAAAAATTAAAATATTAGTATATTTAGAGTTAACAATTAAAAAACATTTTATTATCATGCAAGTATGACTAATATACAATTAATTAAGCATACATATTAGACATACAATTAAGATTTATAACAATACATTCATAAACAATGAGTAATAGTATTTGAAGTAATAATTATCAAAACTACTCAACACTAGATTAAGCATGTCAAGGCAATAGCGCAGTTAAAGCAAATAGAGAAAATATTGGATAATAAAAATAAATTATATGTAATATTATATCGAAAATAAAATATCTAAAATACATATTAGTTTATCTGGCAGGTATTATCATAATAAAATGTTATTTACATTTGTATAATGAAACCAACAACATACTAATTGACTATCTGGAAATATTTCCCTAATAGCATTCATAAGACCTCGTTCATAATCGGTGATAAAACTGATTCTATTATAACGAAGAGGTAAAATATTGCGTATTAATGTTAATAATGAAGAGTAAGTTTCTTGTGTTTCACTCCTCAAAAGGGCATAGACCATTGGAAATGTCTAAATGAAAAATAAAACGTATTAAATCATATCTTAACTGTATATTAACAGTATTATAACCAGAAAGTTTTGCTTACAACATCTTTGTAGAGTACTTGAAATGTTAGGAAAGATCGTAAGTTCCCTGGCACTTGAGGAACAGTTTTATACCTGGCATCTACTCCAACCAGCTCTACTGAAGTTAACTCTTCGCGATATCTATAGATCGCATCAATGTTGGCAAAAACAACTGCTACACAAATATCATTCACAATTAGTTCTTGTTGAAAAAATGTTGAGGGTATAATTTGAAATGTGGATGGTTTGCGGTGTTTTTGGTCTCCGCAACCTTTTCATCTTTTTCAAACTTTCTGAGGACTGGATGCACGTATACTTTGTGGCTGCTTCTTAATGTCTACTAAAATTACAGTTTAATTACAAATTACAATTTAAAGAACACTGCTAGTCAATTGTTAGCAAATAAATATATTGATAATAAAATAATGATTTTAATAATATATTACGTGCCAACCGTTTGATCCGTTAATTCAGTTACAACGTCTCAGTCAACGCTTGAGTGGAAGTGTAGTCAGGAATAATTAAGACTTCTTTTTAAAATAATTAAATTTATTTAACTTATAAAAATTTTTCTAACTACAAATTCTGTAAATATTCTAGTGATAGAAATTATTTAAGTCCTAACAATTGTAACTTATAAAATAATTGGAAATATTTCTAAGTCCAAACCATAACATACACTGACGTGAAGGTGCCCAGAGCAGCATTGACAAGACTCGTCTGATTTGCCCTTGTTTTCGGGTCCCTTTTATATGTGATATGGCATGTGTGTGTGTAAAATCCCAAGTGTGTGTGTGTAAATGAAATAAGATAATAAAATATGATAAATGTGATGAGTCGTTATTGATTCGGTGTGTGCGCTCTAAAATATGATAATTCTCTATTGATTCTGCATGCGTGTACTATCTCTTGACCGGCCCATACTTATTACAAGATCCAGGATGTGGTCAACCACCCACGTATATGTGACTCCGATATTCATATTCTTATTTAAACAGATAACCATGTGAACAATTTAACTTATTCACACGCCCAGTTTCGATGTTCATGAGAACCTCTTATAATGTGTGTTTTATATTATGTGACTACGCGGGACGCGACACCTCCCCATCTAAAAATTAATTTATGTTTGCAAAACAGAAATTAATTTCTATAGTTATGATTTTACAATTGGTTCGAGTTACAATTTTACAATGATTCTTATGTTATTGGGATTGTTACAATATAAAGATGTTGTACAGATTTATAATTTTGACAATGGTTTTTTTTAAATGGACTTACAATTTCCACAGTATAATAATATTACAAATAATATGTTTTGATTATATAATGGTTACAATAAATGTGATTAATATAATTATTATTTCCGCATAGGAAATATTACAATAAAATATGATTAATATACTATTATTTCCGTATAGGAAATATTACAAATATGATTAATTAATTTAGTGTTAGTTTAAATAGATTAGTGTTACATTTTTTTTTTTTTTTATCTTTTATATTTTTTCTTTACATATATATTTATATTGGTTAGTATTAGTATTAGTATTTGGTTAGTATTTATGCATTATTTTTGAGAATTAATTAAGAATTTATATTCTTATTTAAAATTTATATTCTACCATTCCTCTTCTGATTCGTAGGGTTCTAATGTTTCCATTCTACTTATGTAATCCTCCCAAGCTTCCATTTTGCTTATGTAATCCTCCCATTCCTCTTTCAACCTTCCTCTTTCGGCATTCATATCACTTGGATATGAATCCTCAAACCATTTAATTTTTACATATGCCTCTTTTATCAATTTTTCCCTAACTTCATCAGTGTCGTCATAAAATATCTCCGGAGGGCTTTGATAATGTATTATTGTTGCCGTTCCTACTTCTTTTTTACTTTTTCTGTAATAATTTTTTTTTATTATTATTTACTATAATTATTATTTTATTTGTTTACTATATATATATATATATATATAATATATATATTATTACGTTTTTTTGCATATCCTAAATAACTTACTTGGGCTTATTCTTTTTATTAAATAATTAAAAATACATTTAGTATACGTTACATCAGTCATAGGGTCATGGCAATATGTTACTTCATGCCCTTTTTTGCATAACATATCATGGGTCTCCTTTAGATTTAACATTCTCCCGTTCTTTTGCACATGCCCTATGTTTACTGAGTGTAACAATTTATTATTACTTACATCTATTAATTTTAAACTAAAATTATTATCATTGTTATCGCTATATGTACTTAGGTATATCTAACAATTTTTTTATTCCTGGTATCCTTAATTTTTTTATTATTTTTACATCCATAGTTCCACTCCAGGTGACAATAATCGGTTGAGTATTGTCCGAAAACAGGTATTTAGAAATTAACGCCGAACCAAGACTAGTTGCCCCCTGGTGATTGATACTAATATCAATTTGCCCCAATAAAGGTTTCAACACGTCTGGTTTCTTTCGGAAAATTCCTTTTAAATACTGTTTCAGGGTGTTCAGATTCTTTTTATTGAACATCCTCAACTTATTGTCTCCTGTTAGTATGATCGGTCTCCCTTGCATCTTGACTGGCCTATATTTGTCCAAACTATGACACATTGACCCCGATACAAGTAGTAAGTCGTACTTATTGATGTTGACAAATTCAAAATCAATAATTACGAACTTAATCTGGGAACTGAATAATACAATAATATTAATTAATTATATCAAATATGGATTACTATTATTAATTTAAATTTTTTTTTTAATTAATTTTTTTTTTTAATTTATATTCTCGTTAAAGTACTTCTTAACATTATTTTTATGTACTGTTACTCCCCTTTTACCTCTTTGAATAACAATATTTTCTTCCCCTATTATATCTATTACCTCGTATGGCCCTATCCATAACGATTCTAACTTATTTCTAGCAGTATTATCTTTTAATAATATTAAATCTTTTACATGTATATCAATAGAATTTTCTTTCTTATTATAACCTTGTTTTGATTTAATTTTTCGTGTGACTAGTTTTTCTCTCGCAATTTTGTGTGACTCTTGCATACTTTGTTTTAAATCATATAAATAATCATCATAATTATATCGCGGTTCAGGTTCAGATTTTAATTTTATCGGAATTTCTAACGTTCTTCCGTACACTAAAGCATATGGTTGAAAATTAGTTGATGTTCAGTTGAGTTATAAACGAAAAATGCATAAGGTAACAGATGGTCCCAATTACTTAAATATTTATCTACGTAATGTCTCAAGTATTCGGCTAATGTTCTATATGATCTTTCTAAACTTCCGTTTGTTTGTGGATGGAAAGGACTAGTATTTACTTTGTTGATTTTTAATAATCTGCAAACTTCACTAAATGTCTTACTAAGAAACTCAGTACCTTGATCGGTTAATATTGTCTCAGGTATTCCGTGAACACATACAAAATGTACTACGAAAGCCTCTGCTACAGTATTAGCTTGATGATCCGGTATAGGTATTCCTAATGAGTATTTAGTTAAATCATCTTGCATAGTTAAAATGTAAGTATTACCTGATAAGGTAGTTGTTAAGGGTCCTACTATATCTAAGAATATTTTTTCAAACGGTCTCGAACTTGTTGAAGTAATTGCCAATGGTTGTTTTACATGTTTATTAGTTATTTTATTCTTTTGACATGACGTACAATTTTTTACGTAATTTTTAACATCTGATTTCATATTTCTCCATCTAAATTGATTTTGTATTTTCCTAATTGTTTTATTTATCCCCAAATGTCCCCCTAATTTTGAATCATGAAATTGTTTTAATATTTCTAATTTTTCTTCTTCCGTATATTCGACTTCGCCTGTGCATATTAATATCTGTATATCGGTTTGTCGAAATACGTATCGTATCATTGACCTAGTTATTTCCCATTCTAGGTTATCTGCCTGACCTAATTTATTCATTGCTAATTTTTTGATATCATTTTCCTCACAAAACTGTTTCAAGTTCACTAATGTCACATATATATTTTCATGCGTGGTTAATTGTTTATCTCTATTTTTAGTTACTAGGAACATTATATATCTATCTTCGGTTTTAAAATATTTAATATCGCCTATCATTTTACTCGGTGGCAATAATTGATTATTACTAAATTTTTCTTTTAATATTTTATTAATTCCTTTCTTAAAATTATATTTTTTAGCTATTTCCGATACTAAATTATACTCTACTGGTACGTTCATTAAGTCTCCTATTGTTTCATGTACTTTTCTATTTATAATTAATTGTGTTTTCATTTTATTAATAAAATTGGAATAATTGTCATCTGTGATTTCTGAAATTTTATAAATTCGGCTTAATGCATCTACATTTGAATTTTGTACACCCGGTTTATATCTAATCTCATAATCGTACTCATCTAGTTGTATCCGCCAACGCGCTAATTTAGATAATGGATCTTTTAAATTAAATAACCATGTTAATGGTCTATGATCACTCAAAGTAATAAACTTCCTCCCGTACAAATAAGGTCGAAATTGTTTAACACCATATACTATTGCTAAACATTCTAATTCAGTGGTACTATAATTATTCTCACTTTTACTTAGAGTACGCGACGCATAAGCTATCGGTAAATCTTTTCCTATTGATGCTTTGGACAATATTTCAAATACTCATGACTCATCAGGAACAGATGCCTCCTTACCTTATCAATTGATTAAGAATTTATTATATCACTTCAAGTTAAAGTAAATCAATAATTATATGGTTACCTATAATTTTATATAAATTATTTTTATAACTATATTTATGTAATTTCAGTTGTTGTTTTCATATAGCTTACCTTTGTGTAAGCAATTGCAAAAAATAAGGATTGATCTGAAAGAAGCAGTAGAACTTTCTAATGATGTAATTTACAATTTAGATTTAATAAGGGCTAATCCAGAAGAAGAGTTTCATAAACTATTTTTACAGTCTGAATTAAGTGTTATTTTCAACAATTAATTATTAATTAACAATAACATAAAAATGTATATTATTTACAGATTCAATTTTTTTTTTTTTTTTAGAGTATGGCTACGGTATTTGAACTTGAGTTAACTGTAAAAAGAATTACAAAAAGACAAACTAATAGAGGACATCTATGTTCAGATAATGCAAGGGATTTAGACATTGAAGAATACTATAGAATTACAATTTTTATTCCATAACTTGAGTTTTTTATAAGCGAGTTGACAGATAGATTTTTATCTGATGCATTTATTTTTAATGGTATTTAATTATACATTTAGAACTTTTTTGCATTTTCATTTGAAAATTTCTTAACATTTTAATCATTTGAATATTTGACTTAATCATTCTATAGGATTTGAATGCTTATTTTCTAAGCATAAGCTTACTGAAAAAGATGAAAATGAATTTACCGAATTAATTAAATTTTATTCTCCCGTAGTGTCTAATGATTCTTTGGTTGAATAAAAAAAACTGTGGTGTACCAAGATACAACGATCTAGAAAAATACCTAATACTGGTCTTGAGGCTCTAAATATTTGTAATAAAGATATCTACCCCAATATTTATTTTCTCTTTAAAG